GAAAAGAAAAAAGAAAATTGACTGATGCTATCAAGACAAGAGGAAGAACATTTTAATTTTGGGGAGGGGTGTGATTAATAGATATTTTGAAAACGCTTGGGGGCTCGCGCTTTGAGGAGAGGTGGGGTTCAATGAAACCTGGGTGCGGGAGTTGTCTTTATCTGGGTGGCGGCTGGATTTAGGCTGTGCGGGGGCTCTGGGAGGTAGTGTGGGCCCCAGACCTCGCGCGCGTGGGCCGCAGGCGAGCCCAGCTTCATCCCACCACCCCACTCACGTGAGACAGCGCAGCAAAGGCCGGGAGCCTCCCTCCCAAGTTGAAATCCTAGGTATTTCACTCTAACGCTCACCCCACATTTTCACCCTCACTCCAAAGTCGAGAGTCTGCACTGCCACGTAAAGAGCTGCCCTGGGAGGGGGGCGTCCTGCACCCTACTTTGCACACAGGGCCTGCAAGCCAAAATGAGCGCACCTCCACCATATTCTTTTTGTCTTTTTCCTCCTTCCTGCATTTTGAAAATCGCCAACGAGGTGTTTCAGTGCCATCTAGTGGGGGAGGGGCGTGCTTCGCTTTTGTCCCTGGATGCTGCAACGGGATTTGCTGAAGGGACAGCAGAGCCCGGGTATGCCCGCTCGGTTCTTGGATGCCCGGCTGGTCGAGGGGTTGTCGTCATGTGCCCTTTGCCGGATCCCCGTCCTCTGGGTTCCCCAGAAGGATGGGGCGGAGCTAAGAGATTGTCCCCAAAGTCTTCTCACCTTTCTTTCTACCCTCCTCTTAACAGCTCCTTCTCCCCCGACCGTCAAAATATGGAAACGAGCGCAAACACTTTGTGCACATGCAGAGGATGTCGTAAATTTCTTCCGTAAAGCCCAAAGCACTTTTAGGCCAGCAGGATGCCTGTTTTGACCATAGGAAGATGGCAAAAAGGTGATATGACATCTACAAGGTCACTCAGGAAATGGGGGCACAGCTAGCAGTAGAGCGTCAATCTCCCGATTCACAACTCTCCTCTCCCCTGAGAACCAGCTGAAAGAGGTGCCTTGAGACCCCTGGAAGCCCAGGCGGTTGCCCATTCACAGTAAATGTACCTGTTCACTTTGCCTTTATCTTTCCTCCCTCTTCCAGTACTCCGCCCGTTTCTCGTTCCTGTTTTTTCACTTCTTCTCCCGGCCTGTGCTTAGGCTTGCTTCCAAGGATGTGCCTTGCCCTTTCTCACTTGGTCATCCTCAGCAGTCCTGTAATTAGGGCCCCGCTGGGAGAAGGACCCAAATGGCACACTGTCCTCTTTTCTGATCATTAAAATCATATTTAAAATTTTTCGTCCTCTCAAAAAGCCTATGAAAGACATGGATTTGAGGCCTCCTTTGAAGTGGAATTTTCTTGGATTGCCTTTTCCGGATGATCCTGGTCTTTGGTGCTAAAAAGAGTAAATTCTTCTAGACTATATGAGTACATGAGTTTCTTGTCTTAATTGAGTGAGCTACGTTTCTTCTGTCTTCTTCCAATTCTTCCACCCTATTAGTTACACAATCTCTGTATTTCCCACCTATTCCTTCCCACTCACACCTACACTGTCCTAGGATCACAGTATCTCAAAATCGGAAGGGACTTTAGAATCTACCATACAACAATGCATGAATCTCTCCTAGGACTTTTCCCAAACAGTGACCGGCTACTTCTTGCACACTTGCAGGGGAAATCACTCTCTGAGCAAGCACCCTGTTCTACTCTTGAGTGGTCTAAGTGGTAAGACAGTTTTTCCTTATACTGAGTCTTATCCTAGGTTCCAGTAATCCTGTCCTAAGAGAAGCCTACAAGTACCTGATTCCTCTTCCACATAATGGTCCTTCTCATACTTGACATGAGCCATCATGTTCCCCCTAAGCCTTCTACCCTCCAGGCCAAGTATTCCTTGTTCGTTTACTCATGGCGCTTGCTCCTCTTGGGTTTCTGATACCTCCTGATTGTTAATGCTCTTTGATCTAACAGTCGCGTTAACCAATGAAGAAGAAAACGTGGTCCATCTTATTTTTACATGACCTACATAGAGTTCTAATGATCATCACTTCCTCTTTGAAGCCTATAACTCATCCCTTTTGGCATCCAAATTGGAAAGGAAAAAGTAAAACTCTCATTACTTGTAGATGACATGATACTACTCATAGAAAACCCTAAAGACACCACTATAAAACTATTAGAACTAATAAATGAATTCAGTAAAGCTGTAGGATACAGAATCAATACACAGAAATCTGTTGTGCTTCCACACACCAATAAAAAAAACAATCAGAAGAAGAAATTAAGAAAATAGTCACATTTACAATTGCATCAAAAAGTATAAAATATCTAGAAATAAATTTAACTGAAGAGATGAAAGACCTGTACTCTGAAAACTATAAGACAAAGCTACAATAATCAAAACGGTGTGGTACTATTATAAAAACAGATAAATAGATCAACGGAGTAGAACAGAGAGCCCAGAAACAAACCCTTACTTATATGGTCAATTACTCTATGACAAAGAAGGCAAGGATACACAATGGAATAAAGACTGTCTCTTCAACAAGTGGTGTTGGCAAAACTAGACAGATTCGTGCAAAAAAAAGTAAAACTGGACCACTTTCTTATACCATATACAAAATAAACTCAAAATGGATTCAAGACTTAAATGTTAGACCTGAAACTATAAAACTCCTGGAAGAAAACATAAGCATTATACTCTATGATATCGCTCTTAGCAATCTATTTTCTGATATGTATCCTCGAGCAAGGGAAACAAACAAACAAACAAACAAAAAAACAAATGAGACTACATCAAACTAAAAAGTTTTCGCATAGCAAAGGAAACCATCAACAAAACGAAAGACAACTGACTAAATGGGAGAAGATATTCACCAATGATACATCCAATAAGGGGTTAATACTCAATAATATATGAAGAACTCATACAACTTAACACCAAAAAAAAAAAACAAAACAATTCAATTAAAAAATAGAAGACCTGAGCAGACATCTCTCCCAA